ATTATAATGTAATGTAAAGGAGACAAACGGGCACAGGAGACAGTAGTAACATCAGTAACTTCACGTTCCTGGTAAAAAACAAAAATATTAATGACGGTTGAGATTTCGGGGTCCTGTGGAGACCCCTCTGTTCACAGCTACACAAGGACTCCATAACATTAACAATGCCTGCGTGTACATTCTGGACTGGGTCATATAAATGGGACACACAAGTTAAAGTGATAATGACATGACTCTGTTGGCAATTACATATAATTGCAGGAGAACAAGGTGTAGTTCACTGTAAATCAATCAATCAATCAATAAACCTAACAATTTAAACATGTAACAGAATTTTCTGATCACAAAGTTTTCCTGTTCATTAAATCAATAAAATTACAGTTAACACGTCTCCAGTAAAATAACATGAAAAAATTCACAACTATACAGCACTTATTTAATATATAATATTATTAAATACCTTTTATTCTAATTTGTAAATACATATTAAAAATGAATACAATGAGTAAAAATAAACTGTAAAGTAATAGGTTGTGTAATTTTACATATTTGTTTGTTCATTAACTGACATGTTGCAAATTGAAGTACTGTATCAGTGTATTAATGCTGTATTACAGAAATACTATTTTAACAAGTATAACTCTGCAAAGGCTCATATCCATTAAATATACGATTTTATGTGAAAACATATCCTAACAATCAAAGTTCAGGTGATACCATTTGTAACGGGACACTGTAAATGCAATAACATTTTCTGGGAATCCGTTAAATTTAAATGAGTGATCCTTTTAAGGTAAAGATAATAGTAAAGATATCAGAAATGTTTCTATAAAGTTACACCTAAAAATGTAAAAAGAATTTTTTTTTATCATCACAAAACAATAATAAATTATAAATTATAAACCCAATTACTAGTTTTGCAATAGTATTAGGACTTTTTTTTGGTTGATATATCATTTTATTACATATGGATTAAATTTCAAAAATGTTTTAGATAGAATTACATAATAAAACCCGACTAATAACAGTACTTTTCTGTAAGTTTAAGTGTTTTACACACTTTTTATTTAACATAAAGCATACAAAAATTCACAGGATCTCTTGTAAATTAAAGCTACAAAACTATATTTAAAATAAAAATTTCTGCATTTTAGAATATGGTAAATTTATATTATTTAACAGTCTTGTTCAGTATTTTTAATATAATATATTATATTATATGTTATAATATATAATATAATACATATGGGACCACTATGGCTTTATGGTGAAATAATGTAGGCAGGAGCAGGTGTACATTTAAACAGAGTGGGTTCTGTTTGGTTCCACTCATGCAGGACCCTTCATAACATACTCTTAGTGGGCAGCATACTACATGTGCCTTTTCCACAGTCAGCCTGGATTGCAGGTTAGTACATTAGTATGTGGCACTTAGAAAATGTGAGCCCACACAAATTTGTAATATTTTTGTGGGCTCACGGTTGACTGTTTCTGACCATT